GGCATACTTGCACCCATAATCTGCACCGGCATACTTTTGTACCCACGTACATTTGCAACCAGGACATTTGCTATCACGGGCATTCGGAGCCACGTACATCTTCTTTTTATAATCATAACAAGTAATAATAATAATCCTATTCTTCCATAGAATCTCTTTGTTGATCATTTTCCGTTGGCGAAATAATGCAATATTTTGCCACAAGACATAATAACTGAACTTAGATGATAGGAAACTTTTGAAATTGCTGGATTGCTTCTTCATAGCCTTTCTCGTAATTGGTGTTGTAATATCGCTTTGAATTATGCTCTTTCGTAACAAATATTACTTGAAAGCACACCAGACAATGTGGTTTACCATTGTCGTAGGCAAAAAATAGTTTCTTCCCAGTTGGCATTAAACCCTGTTTTCTCTGTTACATTCTTTTACAAAAAAACAGGATCGCGCAGCGCGAAGTCATATCTGCGAGGGGTCACTGCTGTCACATGACCCAAGCTTAAAAATATAGGTGTATTTTCACTAAAATGAAGGCAAACGTTTCTCCAGGTCAAGAGTTGCTTGACGCGAGTTTAGGGTGCAAAGCTCAGATGAAAAGTCCCCCCATCCCTACTTCTTATGCTCCGCGCAATCTTTCACTTACTTTCGCTTGATTATTTGTAGAAAACAAAGTGCCGCCTTGAAAAGTATCGGTAACTGTTTATCGAATCGTGGTCGTATCGATCACAGGACGTCATTCCCATATCGGCACTGCGTTGAGGTTTATAGATACAATCTTCAGTGATTTTATCAAATATCATTCTGGACAACGGGATAACTATAGGAATTAAATATTGGGAGCCCAACCCCAGTTGAAATAGTTAAAAGGATCAATGTTCTGCCAATCAATAATAAAAAGGTTGCCGCTAGTTATCTAACATGGAAGAATACGCACAGCTTCACTGATTTCCGATCTCCATTGGGATATTTTGCGTGGTGGAGTCGTTGGATTTGGTATGTAAATTTACAATCAATTTCGATTAATACGCAAACAGTCAGTTCATTCTTTGCAAAGCGCGATATTTGTTGGAGGCGAGACCTCGAGCTAGACTTCTGGGATTTGGAAATTGTTCTTCTTAACAATATCGAGGAATTTCTTCACATTATAGTCATTCTCCTCTTTCGTAGATAGATTATAAATTTTTTGACAATTCATCCATTAGTCGCTAAAATCTTCATTGGTAAATCTGAATTGAATACGATTAAACACATAGCTAGAGATTACCATCTCCTTCAAATGCAGTGAATATTTTGTCTTGTTGTCATATTGGAATCTGATGATGTCTCTCAGGCAGGGCTGGGAATTTCAGTGAAAACACTTGTAAACCGCGGCGTGACGTTTGACGTACTAGGGTAAAATTTAAGATCGTTACGTAACAATGGTTCGAAAGCAATTTCGCAGTTTTGACCCACTGGGGCGGTGAAAAGGTGATATATCCATTCCAGGTGTAGCGGCAATGGCGCGAAAATATATGTGTCTACCCTACCTGTTACAAGCATCAGAGTGTGTATTCAGCACGATCTAAATATTGTAAATACAAAGCGTTCGTCACTACTTCCCAAAAATGTTGATATGCTAAAATCACTACGACAGAATGCGCACTTGTTGAATGGTATTTAATAGGTGACGTTCTTGCAATGAAATCGTGAAAATTATATTCCGAACGAAAACTGATTCTGAAGTTGTCGTTGTCAAATTTCCATAATCAGCAGCACTGATACTTTAATTATGGCGCACATCCTGAACATAGTATGTGTACCAGGCTAGGGTTCAGGTTGTGCGCCATCTTGGTGCACATACTTCGGGAGCGTCAATTAAACATCATGGAAAATAAATTTGTGATAAACTAATCATTTTTGAAAAAATCCTACAGTATATTAGCTGACATGGCAGTCAACGGGAAAAAATCGTAAACCATCTAAAATTGGTTAACCGACTAACCGTTGCTGAAATTGCGAAGAAAATCCAAGTTGAATTTCCATTTGTTTGCAAACAATCTGAAATGGAAGGATTCGAATTGATTTGCTGATTGATTGAATTGATGGTTGATTGAGTCTGACATTAGAAGAATTCCACGCCAGTCAATGCGTTCGATGATATTGGATCAATTCCAATTCGAGAACTTATCTACCGTGACAATATGTGGCTTATTGTGGGAGTTCAAAGTAGTCATTCATATCCTTTGCCATAGCCCGCTCGGGATATCTTGCGGTTACATCGGCTTTTTGGCTTATGAAGGTTGAATTGAAGCACATAATATATATTCGAGAATTTCCAAGAGTATTCTTAATGTCGGAACTAGGGTTGCCACATCTGGATACATTTTTTTTTCGAATCGAATCTCGAATCAAAAATTTTCGAATGGAATCTGATTCCATTAAGCTTTTTCAATATTATTGCATGCGTATGCTTGCTCAAAGTCACAAAAAGCTCAAATCTAGAAGAGAAAAACTTAAAAATGGAATACGCTGTATAGCAAGGCTGATAAGGAGTTTTCAGTGAATATGCCACACTTATTTCCATCATGATAAAAAATATGTAGGTCATAAATATCACCAATAAATTGATTGATGAAAAACTTGCAGTTGCAACTTATCTGTAAGTCTTACAATACTGAGTTATTATTGTGTTATACTTGTATCATGACAGAGGCAATTTGATGGAATTTATATGAGAAAATGAGCAGGGAACAGTTGTACTGTTATGTCATAAGCACAGTAACAGCACTGCTTTCCCTAGCCCGACACCAGTATATATGTGTCTGTGGTATTTCACTTCTTGTTATATTGAATTAAGGCCAGCCTTATTATCGATTCTTTATTTTCAAAATTTTAGTACAATATTTTATATTTATGTTAGCAGCATAGAGTAATACGACAAAAACATTCTAATTGCATCTGAATTACTATGAATGGGAAATGCTTGCAAAAATATGCTTGGAGACGATAAAATTAACCAAGATTAAATTAATTTCGAGAAAAACAATCGTTCACCCGACTACGATTGCGAACAAAAATCTCTGTAAATATCGGAGTCAATATTATTTGTGGCTAACTCGGGCTTCATAATATCGTCGACTACGTTTAATTTCGTAATTCAGAAAGTCCGAATGTGCATAATAGACGCCGCGCTGACGAGCGATAATTGGTCGACGCTTTATCTCGATCTAACTCGGTCCCTAGGGCCAAAGTAAGACGACATTCGCACAGTATGCTTGGTCTGGTATGAAATCTGGCACGTGTTGATGTAAAACAGTGCACAAGTTGCCATTCCTCAAGTATCATTCACTCCCACCTGACATTTGCTAGAAATAATCCAAATGTTTTATTCCCGCTTGTATCGCTCTAACAAAATTGAAAGTAAATACTACTTTTTTGTAACAGCTGAAAAAAGACGTGTATGTACTATTACATTATGTCCCACTGATTTCGTTTACAGCCACTCGAGTGGAAGCCTGACAAACGCAAACAAAATAAATATATATTTTTTCCAGAATGAGAAACATGATTGTCAATTGACATTGCCGGCCGATGAACTCATTCAGTAATAGTTCTCTTCAAATGTACGCGAAATATTTCACTCAGAACATAGTTTAAATTAAATTTCAATCAAAATCAAATATTATCTAGATCGACTAGATGTCGGTAGATGATTCTTTATCCAATCAAGCCAGGGCGTACAATAACTTGGTCGCAGCGCAGGTGCGCTGTCGAAAATTGTCATCAAAATTGTCACAAATTTACAGGTATACGATCCATTGAAATTCGCGCATAATAGAAACTTTGGCTATTTAGTGAAAACTGAACTCGCAGTTTGGTGGAAATTACGCCACACATTATCTCGAGTGATGCGTAAAAGAGTGTTGTGCCGAACTTAAAACAAATGACGGCAGATAAGTAAAAAATTCAATCACGAAAAATTCATTTTCATTTATTTCCGTCTCGTAATTTGGAGTACCGCATAAACGAATTCGGCAGTTTAACGTCACCGAAAACAATAATTAATAAATGTTCAATGTTTTTCTTTTGGTCCCGTAATTTGGTGGTATTTGGAGTGCCGCATAAACGCACTCGGCAGTTTTAACACAGCCGAAAACAACGATTAACAAACGTTCTATGTTTTTTTTCGTCCCGTAATTTGGTGTTATTTGGAGTGCCGCATAAACGCATTTGGCAGATTTAAAGTCATTAAAAATAATGATTTAATAAACGTTTAATGTTCTTTTTTTCGGCAAATCCATCTCTTTTTCCGAATTGCGTATATCTGATTCGAATCGATACGGAAAAGATGCGATTTGAATCGATCCGAAAATCCAAAAGTGGCATTTCTAGTCGGAACCAACCGGCCAATGTACGGATTCTTGTGCGAGTCTACGAGTAGATCCGATTGATTGCAATCAGATTCTACCATCTCTCCAGGTAGACCAGTTACGATACAAATCCCACCAAGCCTTCTGCCCCACGAGGAAAATTGGATGATTAAAGGCGATTATGCGGACAACACAGGCGGTGCGATGAATAAGGCTGACTTGACCATAATGCGTTTGTGGATGATGTTCCAACAGGTGTTGTATCAGCAATGAAATGGATGGAACAGAAGATGACGAGGTCTGGTCAGATCATTGGGCTGTCGAGTCGGACGAAAATTCCGGGGTCAATGAATCATTATATAACGTTGAAAAAACGAATGAAAGCATCGTTGGATTCCAATAAGGAAATTGAGAATGAATTAAAAGGGATTTAATTTTGTGAACTAATTTATTCTGTTAATATTGCTATTCTTCAATTTGTATACTTAAAAGGTGAATAAAATTTATTTTCAATCTTAATTGGAACCGCTGTTCGTGCGGGGAAGCGCATTTGCCACTTCAAAATGAGACCTGCTGCTAAATATAGTGTGAAAAAAATGATTTAAAGAGCCATTAGGTTTGACGAAAAATGATACCTAAGCTTTTGGTTTGCCGATTACAAGAGAATAACTGGATGACAACAACAAATTCGGACCATCAAAGCGAAGTTCTGTTCCCGTTCTTATCACTAATATACGGTAGTTATTGAATTATGTGCGCTGCCCTCTGTCGAGAAGGATAATCCATTCCATGGGTATGTTTGTACCGAAACAAGCATGATCTGGTAGACTTTGTCACATAAAATTACTAGAAATAAGACATAATATATAATAAGTATTTGACCTTGTGCATGAAATGTCAACCAATATTTTTTATATTTTCTTCGCCAAAGCGTAATACGCATACCCTAATATTAAAGGCAGAATTTGACACACATGAGCATGGAACAAGAGGAATTTACCGGGAGGGGAAAAAAACAGGATTTTTGACGGGTTTTCACTGTTTTTGAACGCAGATTAATGGAGAGGGGTGACTGGAACGAATGAAATTGTCACATTTGGCAATAATTCGAAATGGTTTATTTGCGAAAATACAAATTGAATGCTCTAATATTTTATTTCAGAATACATACAAAATAGTAGTAAATTCAGTTCCAGCTGCACTTGACTATAAAATAATTTTGTTATCTTTTTCAAAAAATTGATCTTTATGTAATTGTGTTTTTGTAATTTACATATGCCAGCCGATCATGGTTAAAACCAAATAATTCCTAATTCAAAAGCTGAAATGTGTTAAACTGGCTGGCATATTAAATGCAGTCTTTCAGTAAAACATCCTGATATCACTGGTGGTAGTCTGAAAGCAAGCATGGTGCTACTTTATTTTGAAATGCGAAATATGTGAATATCTGGTGAGCGGAACTCATCATGCATATCTGAATAGGGTACTTGATGAATCTTTAATTTGAATTTTTTGCTTAAAATATATCTAAAGCGTTCTTGAAGTTCTTGCTTATTCCCAGTGTCACGGTCTTCAAAGCAACAAAGCACAATTGTGTCATTTAAGCTGGTCTTAATGATGTGATTAATGGTTATAGCAAGTGGTTCCACTGCTTCATCATAATACACACAATCAGCCAGCAAAACACAGTGAAACTCATTCTTCATGCTATTGTCTTTGCTGTATATAAAAGTGTTTTTAACTATTGCATTCATATCATCAATATTGCCCCATCGTAACTGGAATATATTGACGTTACGGTCATTTTCCTTAAAAACTTCTTGGTTTTCTACTACATTCTTCTGTAGAAGTGGCAGAAGTTCAGGAAGGTCGGTTAATACGACCAGCTTTGCGCCACACGCTGCAGCAACCAAACCAACAATACCAGTTCCAGCACCTAGTTCGATAACATTTTTGTTACGAACAAAATGATCCCTCGCTTTCTGTGTTTGAAGGTAGTAAGCAAGGACCAAAGCTGCATCCCAAACGACACAGCCAACATCACCAACCTGTCATAAAAATAATTCACAATTCTATTCCTAGGCAGATATTTATGCAGAATGTTACATAAAATGTTTCAGACCTTTTCCTGGTGAATTGCGAGTCTTGACAATTCTTTACTTGGTATATCAATATAGCGAATGAAAGTATCATCAGACATTATGCCGAACTGTAGTTTTTCCTGTTAATTCTGTAAACTGTATTAGAATCAAGATGAACTGTCAGTCATGCCAACAGGTTGTGTTATGGGAGTCCACAAATGAGACAAACATGGAAAAATTTTCTCGTTTGTTATGAAACCTTGAGTGATACACACCCTGTACTGCTATAGCAATGCAGTAAACAAAACTTGAATGAACACATGCCATTCTCTCAGAGTAGCAACAAAAGTTACAGTACTTTACTTCTCCCTTTGAAACCTGCTATACCACATACGCTCAGCGGTATGGTACGTTATGCTAACTTTAAGCATTAGCAATATGCTTGCCATTGCATCACTGATTACCCTGCATGTGTTTGCAGGTTCGAATCCAGTTGACGATAATTATGTGTTAAAGGATTGCTGTACTCCTCACCATCATAATGCTGTAGTGGTCGTTACGAATTCCCTCCCATCACCATCAAATCAAGTCCATGCATCTGAAAATCAAATGACTGGCTAATCCCATACCCGAAACTGACTTTTGGAGAGCGGTCGGGCCTCCTACCGCAGTAGTGGTAATGGATAGGATTTACATATTTATCCTGGGTATCAAGCCTCCCGTCCTGTTACCAGTCCATGTTGGGTGTGGGATTAGTTAGCCAGTTATTTGTTTTCTGATGCATGAACATGAAGCTGTAACTGAACCAGCAGCTAGTGAACCACCTACGACACTCCACTCGCACATAGTTAGGCGTTCCAGAAGTATGTGTACCAATATGGAGGTAACTAATTTTGTTCGCATATTTTACATCAAGTTGTGTAAAAGGACGGAAAACCTATGGGCAGGGGGTATATCAACCTGGCTAACGCAAACAGTTCCTGAACTCATAATATAACTAAAATAGGGAAAATCAGAATAAAATTATGGCCTAAATTTTTATTTGCAAATGATTTCGCTGCCTGTTAATGTCAAATATGATCATAATCTATCAAGGTCCATCATCAAAAATAAAATTCATTAGCGTTAACTCGATTGCAGAAGAAGATTTTAAAAACTCAGCGATATTCTTTAAATGTACAATATAAACTTGGTAATAAATTGCACATGACAGACATACTTTAAAATTCTAGTTAAGCAATGAAAACCAAAAAGTGCACAATTAGAAGTAGGCGTAGAAAATTTATATCACATAGTATATGTACCGGTAACTGCTACTAAACTACGGTACGGTACCATTTCCATTCAATGGTTGTACCGGTACCTGTACTGTACTGACCACCACGAGTAGGCCTATCACGGCTTGTGAATTAGTGCTGTGCATAGCTACTAAAATTCTGAGTTACTGGTACCGTAGTACCGGTACCTCATTATTTCATGCTATGCGGCTGTGGTTAATAATATAAAACCCTTGTGCACTGGCAAAACTACTGAATTATGGACATAATAACATCCGAACATAAAAACAGTCTAGTCTAAGAAGTTTGGTAGTAAACTAAAAAAATGAACAAGGCCTGGGCCATCGCGTGCCACTTAACTTAAGCTGCGGTATTTTGCTGACGGACAATTCATCCACCCCCTAGTCCCCTGCCAGCCTGCCGAGTTGCACGTCTTGATTGCCACGTTTACTGTTCATAGAAGTATACCGGTACCGGTATTTAACTTTTTTGGAGGCTGCAATAGCAGATGAAACAAGGCAATATTTTCATTCAGAATAATATTCTTCCAAGTAGGCTATTAAATTTTGGTCACGTTCTTCAGAAGAGCTCCAACACGCTGATCAACGACTAACAACTATCGACTTTCGTGACCTTTGACCGATGCTGCCAGCAGCATTTTCATTGAACTTTGGAGGGGTGGCGCTCGTCCAAGATTCCGAGTTCTTCAGTTCGCGCGGCTGTTATTCGTACTTGCTTTGAAGAGCTCGCTTTATGTAAATGTTGCTTTAAAAGTATTTTTAATATTTTAAATTGAATACGGACTAACTTATGTATCTTCACTGCTAAACATTTGAACTGCCTTATTGCATGGTGTACTTTCAACTGAAGTAATTCGGACCATAGTTACTGGGTTTCCCTGAACAGGGAAGTTATGTATTCTCACAGAAGCTTCTTCAAAAAGATGGGATGTCTGGATGCGTCTGTAATGCCAAGTTCGTTATTTCGCGCGGCTGCTATTCGTACTTGTTCGAAGAGCTCGATTTATGTAAATGTTGATGCGCCTTCTAATTCTTGACTGATGGATTTCAGCAGTCTTCTCTTTGCCCATATGCCATAGGTCTCAATATTTATAGCAACCCAAGAGTTTTAACCCAAATTTCAGTTGAAATTTATAAAAAAAACAAAATTAATTATTCCCGCAATATCAATTTCTCGAAATCCAATTTCAAATTTTGATAGCTATTCGGTGCCATCCCATGTAAAAACAAATTTCATTTCCAGTAAAATTCCAATAACGTAAATTCGAAACATCCCGGTAAAAACTAATTATTCACTTATAAACAATTTTTAAATCTCATAATTGGAGTCGAAACCGGAATGACGCGTTATTCTTTCATTGTTAATTTAAAATCTGTTTCTTGATTAAATTTTAATTGCTCTGTAGAAACCTATATATTCTGCTATGTTTTTAATGTTAGTCAGATAAGATTTGATCTAATTGTGTGTGCATCGTATTCTGTGTATATTGTCGGAATTGCAATAAAACTCATAGGGTGATTCAATCGTCTATTTGCTACGGCCGAAGGCTATCGACAGATAGACAATTTGGGTTAACGAACGTAGGGCAAAACTATCGTCAATCAATGGTGGGGTCATAATAAACTAACCAGTACAGTTAACAAACTGGTTTATACAGATATACCGTGCAAGATTGAATAAGTCCTTATTACTCTATTAGCTTGAGTACTTTAAAAGTAAAACAGCCCGAACGTCCAATATATTTGCGCATCTTTTTTTGTTTATTTCTGGCCCAAGCCTCGTTTAACGGTTTAACTAGGTTTGTGTTTCTTCCTAAAAAAAAAAATTGTGTGTGTGTGTGTGTGCTGGTGGGCGGGTACATGATATTCTTATGTTTTAAACTTTTTTTGCTCGCTCTCCAGAATTCTCCATTTATAATTATTGTTTATGGTGGAGTTTTGAAAATAAAATCTATCTAATATTCTCTGAAAGCAATGCTCGAATTTTTGACAGATGTATACAACACTATTAGATGGTTTGGTCAAACCCCGTCTCTTATTGAATTTCAAAAAGCTAGAAGCCGCATACGAGTCCGATATTAGCACATCTGCACATTGACTACAGCTCGTACTTGTATTCAGACAGCGTGGTAATATTTGGCTTGTCATCATAGTCATGTTCAACAGGGGCTGGATCTCTCATACCCAGTTCATATTTTCGTATGATGCTAGCTGTAGTTAAACTCACACTTTCTTAATGACCAGCGCAATTCTCAACAAGGTGGAGCATTCGTGTACAATCCTAGGGTTGACTATTTCCTCCCGTGCATTTCATACTACTTCCCACCAATGAAATTAAACAATGTTGTTTAATGTCATTGTTCTCACCAACATGCGCTTGTAAGCAGAAGTCCTGATCAGTCGGGTTGTTTTTAATCCCACCGACCGACCGAAAAAATAGCTCCAAATGAACTTGACTCATTTTGTAATGTAACGACCTTTGTTTTATCTGTTAAATGATGTCATGTGATATTGTTTCCATATTTGGTATTTCGGCATTGAAGACACTGTGGGCGCTGTGACACTGTCGGTCTGTCTTCTGGGTGTGGCCTGTTAGCATGTGCTGTGGTTGGTACCGGTACAGTGTGGTTGTTTTCGGTTGGTGTGGTGTCTGTGGGAGTTCCTCTGGTCTCCGGTGGGTTATCGGGGATGTTTGTTTGTGGGATTGATTGGATGTTTTTGTGCTGGACAGTGAACTAATGTTGGGACCCTGTGCTGTTTGCGTGTAGTGCCATTGCAGTTGCATATTCTGAACCTGCTAACATAATTTTGGATGATCTTATGGACCCACTTCTCTCGTCTATGATTTCTTCTCTTACATGGACTAATGGATGGCATGTCAAGGCTTTGGTCAATAACGTGCCTGTTTTGTTTTTGATCGATACCGGTGCGGGTGTCTTGCTCGTTGACACCGCTGTTTACTCGATGTTGCAGTAACATTCGGACATTTTTTTCAAGTACCACTGCGTACTGCCAGTGGCGAGTCATTAGTGTCTCATGGTGCACTTGATGTCAACCTAACGATTGGAAGCTTGTCTGTGGAGCATACCGTTGCTGTCGCCGATCTAGGGTCACGGATGGGCATTCTAGATATGGACTATCTTGGCAAATGGGACTGCGTTCTGTATCCCTCATCGGGTTGCTTTGTTCTTGAGGAACAAGATGTTACTGTGCAGCACCAAACATCGGTTCCCTGCTGTCGTGTGACCGTAGAGCAGGATGTGGTTATACCGGCCCGCTCTGGAGTTGTTGTACGCTCAGCCACAACAGCCTTGGCCCCGTCCAGAGAACTAACATAGTAGCCGTTGTTGAGCCAGTGGAGATATGCAGCATCAATTTTGTCGCTTTGCTGACGTTGGTTGACCCATATAAAAAGTAGGTACCCGTTTGGAATTAAACGGACCATGATGCTGTCCTACCCACGGGATCTTTAATTGGCATAACTCAACCATACTTTGTCCGTGAAACAATGATGGCGCCAGTCCCTGAAAATGCGAAAGAATTCAATGGATTACCTGATAAACTTCAGGACTTGATTTCATCGACCGAAGGACTTTCGGCCGACCAGTACCGACAATTGTCTTTTTTGTTAAGAGAGTTTAAGGACATCTTTGTCGGCCGCGATGGAGAACTCGGGCGTACATCGGTTGCTCGCCATCACATAGTAACTACAACACCGCAGCCTATTCGGCAGGCTCCGCGACGTCTGGGCTGGGCAAGGAGACAGATAGCAGAGGATGCTGTTGACAAGATGCTGGATCAAGGGGTTATTGAGCTGAGTGACAGTCCATACTCGTCGCCCATTGTTCTAATACAAAAGAAAGATGGCACTACTCGCTTTCGCATCGATTTCAGATTACTTAATTCAATTACGTACAAGGACGCTTATTCTTTACCTCGTATCGATGACATCGTGGAGTCCCTTAGCGGATCAACTTGGTTCTCGACGTTTGACTTGGCTAGCGGCTAGGTGGCAGGTGGGAGTTGATCCATCTGACAGAGCGAAAACTGCTTTCAGTCTTCCGGGAAAAAGACACTATCAGTTTGTAGTCATGTCATTTAGTCCATAGGTTCTCAAACCCAGGGGCTCCGCGAGCTATTCGATTACTTTTCAAAATACTGACTAATTTTGTAACTGTTCAAAGAAGCAATAACAGCTTTGATAAAATCTGACAACAATATAGCCTCGAAATATGGCACAGAGGCGGAATTTAAAAATGACATTATTTATAAGCAGGAGCGCAGCCAGGATTCTTAAGAGGGAGGTGGTTCAAAATTAGAATCGAAAATTTCCGCGCAACATTCGCGATTAAAAAACGGATAACGGGATTTCTGTTGCGTAAAATATTCAATCCATGACCGATGCCAGCATTTAAAGTGTCTCGTCGTTATAATGTAATTGTGTTCATCTTTACTCACCTTTGATTCGAAATTACTATTAGGATTACTAAAATGAAAGAATACTATTCTAAAATAACATAAAATATGTGATAAACTGCCAACTATAAATAAATTGGAGTCGTATTTTTGCGATCTTGGGGTTTGTCAAACTTGATTTGTTCTTTCGCACTTGAGATTATATTTAAGCAAGATATCGCCGTTTGAAAAATCACAATGTCTGGGCACAGTATGTTCCCCAGCTTTTCTTTTTAGGGGGGGTGTTTCAAAATTTAGGGGGTGGTAAATAATTTGCTGTTAGAGATAAAACTAGGCTGTTTGTATTCTTAAAAAAATGGTAAGTATTTAAGAAACGATGTAGGCTACATGGGGGCCCCCCA